CTCTCTCTCTCTCTCTCTCTCTCTCTCTCTCTCTCTCTCTCTCTCTCTCTCTCTCTCTCTCTCTCTCTCTCTCTCTCTGTTTTTCTGACTGCCTTCTTGCGCATCTCTCTCTCTCTCTCTCTCTCTCTCTCTCTCTCTCTCTCTCTCTCTTCCCCGCTGTGTATATATATCTATATATCTATCTTCCTCTTTCTCTGCCCTCCATGCCCCCTCTTTCTCTGTCTCTCTCGGTCTGTGTGTCTTTTTGTGTGTGTGCATGTGGGTGTGTGGGTGTGTTCCGTATGAGGATCTGAAGAAAGGGAAGCAACCTTCTCAGGCTCCTCTGTGTGGTAGTTTATTTTCCAGACCTGTGAAAGAGCCAATGATTGGGCCAAGGGTTGCCCTCTAATTTGCTTTTGATTACATGAAAGCGCTTCCATTTTTCCAAGTTCCATGTCATGTCTGGTGGACGTGGCATTAAACCATGCGCTCTCCTAGTTTCTTATGAATATATCTCAGACTGTGTTTTCTGCTTCCTTTCCCGTGAGCAATCGTACTGTATGTCTATCTATTGCGGCTGTAGTATTACAAATTTCTACTCAACTAGTTGTCAAAGCAGTTAATTACTCTCTCTCTGGTCGTTTGTGCCAGGGCAATGATCAATAAATGATCAATAGTTAATTTCTACTCAAGCTACTCAGCAGTTAAATTACTACTCAACTGGAGCTACTCAACAGTTAATTACTACTCAACTGGGTAGGCATAAGGGCAATGCTCTCTTATGCCTACCCAGAATCATGCCGGTGATCTTTGACCACGGTGGTTTGTGACTGGAGCCCAGCTGAATTACCCCATTGTCAATAACCAGAACATCAAACCCCTTGAAATGTCTCCAACCGTGTGCGCGAGTCAATAGTATTGGTGTCTTGGGCATTCAGCAGATCCTCTAACAGCTGACTGAGCCCCTTGCAAGATGATAGTGGCCTCCCAGTCTCACGAGCTCCTGGCATAAGTCTCACGAGCTCCTGGCATAAGTAGACGCCTGCAGAGGTAAGAGTGACATCTCGAGGGCCATCAAACAAAGTGTTTGTTACCTGCGTCAATAAGGTACCCGAATCAGCAGCCAACTGCACCGAGCTGTACACTGTCACCCTTGCACTGTTGACTATGGTCGCCAACCCTCCTTTTGTTTGAAAGGCAATGACACCATCCAGTGGGTTTAAACTTTAAACTTGAAAGCAACAGTGTTCCTGAATGTACTTAGCTATTTTGCAATGACCTCATTCAACTGGAGATTCAATCACCACCCCCAAAATGTCAATCGAGTCGTGGAGCAGCCCAAAGTAGTCAATGAAGTGACCAATGGCAGTGCATGACCTCCTATGAAAAATGAAACATGAACTCAATAATAACTCTTCTAAAATTGTACAGTAGTAAGACTTCTCAGTCCGAAACTCCAGTTCTCCTCGGGCCACTTTAGCACAATCAATCCCTATCTATGGCAGGCCCTTCTGTCCACTATCAACTCTCCCGGCCTCTTCACAACTCGGTCACAATGTTGTATCTGTTTCACAAGCGCTGCAAGAGGTCCAGCACCAGCATGAAGACATCCCGAATGGAGAATGGCTGTCACTTGATGTCCTTGGAGTTAATCCCGCTATGGTGTGGGTCACCAAGATGGCTGTCACTTGATGTCCTTGGAGTTCTGCCATAATCCCGCTATGGTGCGGGTCACCAAGTAAGCTTCCTCCACCCTCACGCTTTGACTCCTCATGTGTCTCCTGGGCTCTTTCTTCGTCTCTGTTAGTTCCAGCTCATCGAGTTATATCCTACTCGCCTGCTAGACTAGCTGTGGCTGCCCACCCAAGCACTCTCTCCTCCCAATGGTGGTGGCCGGGCAACATGGCATACTACTCCAGTGCTGGGCCCGAGTGCAGGCAGAATGTCTCACGAGTGGACCAGCAGCAGAGATGTATTCGTATGAGCGACGCACTGTGCCCAAGTGGCTGGCTGAGGCAGGCGTGACTGTGGTCAGTCTGTGCTGACCATGTCTGCCCTGGAGTCATCATAAAACTTTATCTCAGCCTCATTTGGATGTGTGTGTGATGTTTGGCCAAAATTGCTTGCCTAAGATATCTTAGACTCTTTGCCTTCTGGGTTCACACTGGGCCTGGCTGTTG